GAGGGCTTCATCCGTAAAACGAGGACACGGGGCCCACCCCTTTTGACCTCACACCTCTCCCATCTCAAAGCCTCGAGGGCCCTAGGAGGCTGCCCGGGGCCCCCTGGGCTTGGTGGCACACCCCTCGCTGTGTGGAGCAGTTTCGAACGGGTCCATTCAGACCACAAAGTGTGCCTGTGCCATGGATGCAGAGAAAGGACAAGGCCTCTGGCTGCTGCACACGTGGTTTGTGTCTTGCCGACTAGGAACCAAGCAGGAACCAGGCCTCATGTATATGCATAGTGCATACATAAGTGCCTGGGTGTTCGGTGAGTTAGGTGGGTAGGCCTTTTTGCACCAGCCTGATTGAATGCAAGGAGAGGAGAGGCCGATGAATTCACAAGGACCCCCAGAGCTGGGAGCCCGGTGTCCCTTCCAAGTAACTGACTATTCCCACACTCAACCAGACTCCCCTTTTGATGGCTGAGGCCCCTACACTTGGGCTTCAAGAGAAAGAGCCAGGGAAGGGCTGGATTCCAGGGCTGAGGGCACAGAGGCTGCCCCCAATGCTGCTGCATGCCAACTCTAGCCACAGGAGGGGGTGAGGGGGGAAGAAAAGGGGTGCCAAGCAGGTTTGTTTACATCCGCCAGTGGATGGGACTGCCACCTTGAGTAACTGAATTTCCTTCACACCTTAAGCAGACAGGCCTACCCACTCGTCATCCTCAGCCCTCCTCATTTCCTGCCTCTAACCCAGTCAAAGGAAAACCCCAAATTTACTGTTATTGTTTGCCAACCCAACAGTGTCGCCCAAGACTCAGAGACAGGCCCTCCACCCAAGGGCAGGAGCAGAGAGCCCGCCTAGACCACGGCCTGTCCAAACCTGGGATTCCCTGTGCCCTCTGGGCAGGCAGCCCACCTGAGGGTGGGACCCTAATTGTGATAAAGGCCACCTGGCACCTAGCACCTCACAAAGAATTTAAATCATCTCCTTAAATATCTCACAATGGCCACAGGGCACAGGAATGTCACCCGGGGGTTTCATTGAAAACTCTACTCAGAGGAGAGGAATCCAGTCTGTGTCTGCCCTTCCCCCACCGCGTCCCTAGCAAGAGGACTTCAGATACTTTTTCCCAATCTGATTCCCCTCTGCTTCGCTGTGAGGCTCGGCAGAGGCATTTTCTTCTCCGAGGTTGTTTCTTTCTTTCTTTCTTTCTTTTTTTTTAACTTATGTGTGTGTGTTTTTTTAATATATTTTATTGATTTTTTTACAGAGAGGAAGGGAGATAGATAAGAGAGCTAGAAATGTCGATGAGAAACATAGACCAGCTGCCTCTTGCACAACCCCCTACCGGGAATGTGCCCGCAACCAATGTACATGCCCTTGACCGGAATCGAACCTGGGACCTTCCAGTCCGCAGACCGACGCTCTACCGCTGAGCCAAACCGGTTTCGGCCGAGGTTGTTTCTTCACAGGCCAGTGGGAGGCTAGACTACCTCAGGGCTTTCATGCCTGGGAAAGACCAGGGGACTGGGCAACTGAACTGGTGTTCAGTGTCCCTAAGCCCTCCCGCATCTCACCACGTCAAAGTGTTCAAGAACCACGCCCTGTATCTCTCCACCCATCAGGCCACAAAAGTTCCACACTCATCCCATCCGGAGGTTTAGCAGAAAGAGGTTAAGTTGCCCCTAGAGACAGGGAGGGCATGGGGGGGGGGGGGGGGGCAGGCCGGCGTGCATGGGGGAGAGTGGAAAGGCAAGGCAAGACCCGCTCACCCTGCCATCTTCCCTGAATGCCAACTCCAGGCTCATCCTCACTGGCCACCAAAGTGTCTCACCCAGAGGAGGAAGCAAAACTCAGCGTCAGTGTGTGGGGCAAGAGGCTGAGAGGGCCGAGACAGGCGTGGTGGAGCAGTGGTCCTTGGGTGCCCACATCCCATTCCTTGGACCTGAGTCACCGTCCATGGTGAGTGCTGTGCAGGTAGGACTCAGGGTGAGGGCCTCCTGGGCTATCTGGGGAGGCCCAATCCCATCTCACGGGTCCTTGGGAGTGGACACTCCTCTCTGATTAGGTCAGAGAGAAGTGGTTACAGAGGGTCAGAGAGAGGCTGTGCTGGCTTCGAGGATGGAGGATGGAGGAGGAGGCCGTGGGCCAGGGAATGAGGACGCCTCTGGAAGTTGGAAAAGATAAGGCTCCAGACTCTCCTGCAGCTTCCAAAGGAAGGCAGCTCTGCGGAGACGGGATCTTAGCCAGCTGGATCCTATCAGACCTCCGACCTCCAGAGCTGCTGATGTCACCTGAGTGCTGTTTTAAGTCACAAAATGTATTCTGACAGCAACAGAACACTAGGCAGCCTCTCAGACAGCACCTGGCTGACAACTCCCTTCCTCTCTCACCCTAAGTCCCTTCTGCCACCTTGTTCCCCCTCCAAGGTTCCCATCACAAGCTCAGACAGTTTCTCTGGAAACTAAAGCTTAGGCTGGTTCACGTGAGTGTGGTTTCCAGAGTGACCAGTAGTTTCAAGATGGGACCCAAGCCCGGCTGTCCTTCCAGGAGTCATGCAGGGACCACTGCCTGTGCCCGTGGGTCTGAATGGAGGAGACGTGACCCACCCATGACCGAGGGTAAGGAGACCTCGCCTCTGGGCAGGAGACATGGTCTGCGGCTAGAGGCTCCCCAGGCCTTGGGATCCTAAGTTCCAGTCCAAGCCAGTCAGCCTGACCTCCAGCAGGTCCCTTCACCCTCTCCATGGGTTCCCTCACTCATAAAGCAGGGATAACCTGATAACGGCCGGCCTCCCCTCCCCCCCACCTGCCCAGCTTCCTCCCCCCCCCCACCAACCTGCTCCCAGGATCATGAGAAGCATGACACTGTCTAGGATGCACTCTCTTACTGTCGTCCTGGGAGGGAGCCGTGTGGCCCTGCCTGTCACACCCCAAGCCATCATGTGATCTATAATCCCACTCTGGGCCTCACGCTTTTCATCTGTGAACTGAGAGGAATGGGTCAGAAGAACCCTGAGGCCTCTTCCAGCTCTAACCCGTTTCTGCTTAACCCCTACCGCCCCCTGCTGGCACCTCCAGGAACTACACCCACCTGCTCCCCTGGTCTCTCTCTGAGGATTTGAACCAAATTCCTATCACTCATCCTCTTCTCCCTAGACCCCCACACCAGCCGGCCTGACTAGGCTGAGTGTGCCAATGTATGGGTGTGGCTAAATAGCTGAAGAAATCGTGTGCCAAGAAGGAACGTGACTCCTGATTCAGTATTTGGCAAAAGGGCATGGGCTCCCCAGACCTATTGGCACTTCCACCTGCTCCAAAGGAGGGAAGCATTAATACCCCTGTACCAGACACACCTGGCCAGGCCTCGAGAGGGCAGGCACTGGCTGCTGCTCGCCCAGGAGGCCCTCCTCCCCTCCTGTCCCCTCCTCCCCTCCTGTCCCCTCCAGTCCAGTCTTCTCTTCTCCCTTCCTATTCCTTCCCCTTCCCTCCCCTCCCCTCCACTCCCAGGTCTCCCAGCCCAGAGAACCACTCTCCACATGTGGGAGGAGATCTGGGGCTCAGGGACTAATGTCCATGAAAGAAGAGAAAGAAAACCTTCCAACTATTAAATCCGTTTAGTAAAGACAGTTTCGCTCATACAAAACAACAGTTTACAACAATCTAAGTGCTGGACACACCATCAGACACGGAGGCGCTGCAGGCACTGGAGCCCTGGAGCCCTCCCCAGGGCAGAAGACCTGAGTGCCCCCTGCCCTGAGGGAGATGAAAACTGAAGCATTCCTGCCACCCCACCCCAAGAGACCATGGCACCGAGGACCTCTCCCCACGCTTCAGTAATACTGGGGGAAGGCCTCCCCTCCCCCTCACTGGCCTGGACACATGAAGCCAAGCTGTTTGGGGTGGGGGCGTGGCTAATGGGTAGGGCAGAGTCGGGGCATCTTTGGTGTGAAGACCCCCCCCACCCACTAGGCCACACAATGGAGATGTGTGGGAGGCCACAGGGTGGAGCTGCCTTTGCCCAATGCCAGGACCCAGGGCAAAGCTCAGGCGCCGTGTCCTGAACAAAGTGCCCAGGTTCACTTGGTGAGCTGAGGAGGCCTGCGGAGAGATGGCTAAGAAAAATAAGCAATGGGCGGACAAAGGCAGAAGGGGAAGCGGAGGTTACTCGGTAGATGAGCGCCTCAGAGGACTAGGACCAGCACTATGTGGGAAGTCGGGGGGGGGGGGGGGGGGGGGGTCCAGTCTTCCTGATTTCGGCCAGTGCTAAGTCACTCCTCGCCACTCCCGGACCAGCTAGCAGAGGCGGGCACGCAGGCCCGGCTCCGAGTCTGTTGAGGCTTCCAGGCACCGAGGCAGGTGCACCGAGAGCGGGGCGGGCAGGCCCAAGGAGGGAAGGTTCCTGAGCCACAGCAGGACCCCTCCCTAGGCAGCCCTGCCTGCCCCTGGCCCCACAAATGCGCAGTCCTAGGCACACACGCACAGGCACACAGACACACACGCATGCACGCACGCACTCACTCCCATCCGTCTGGCACTCTGGTGATGTCGAGGGATCCAGTAGGAGGTGGTGCATCCTGGCCCCAGACCTCCATGGCCTTGAGCGCCAGGCGCCTAGGCCGGCGGGGAGCTGAGGCTGTAGTGGGGAAACGGGGCAGATGGGACGACACAGGGACACTCCCTACAACAGTTTCCACAAATACCCTTTAACAAGAGGAAGGGGACTGGAGGAGAGGGAAAGTGGGGGGGAAAGGGCAATAAAAGAAGTTTCATAAAAATCCTAAGTCAAATCACTGATAAAACTGCAGACTGAGCACAGGTTCAAGAGCATCTGCTCCCTCCTCTGCCCGCCCTCCAGACCCCGGCCCCTCCCTCCGGGCGCCGGAGCCGAGGCAGGAGTCAGCCTCTCGTGAGGTTCTGGGCTCCGCGAGCAGTGGGCAGCCTGGTCTTCATTTAAAAAACAGATTCAGGTCGAGAGTTATTGCTTGTCCTCTGGCGGAGAAGGACGGGCTGAGCGGTCAGTGAGCGAGGGCCGCAGTCTCCAGGGCCCGCGCCTTCTTCCGCCTCTTCAGAAGCAGAGGGTTGGAGGCATCTTCTATCTTTTTTATCTTGATCTGCTCGTAGTCGACACGCATGGTGGCCAAGGCACTGGTCATCTCCTCCTGGGGGAAGGATTCCACCAACAGAGATGTGAGAGGCATAGCAAAGGCAGAGTGAGCCTGGCTGGTGTGGCTCAGTGGTTGAGCATCGACCTATGAACCAGGAGGCTACGGTTCAAATCCCGGTCAGGGCACATGCCTGGGACTGAGGCTCCATCCCCAATGGGGGGCAGGAGGCAGCTGATGGGTGATTCACACTCATCATTGATGTTTCTATCTCTCTCCCTCTCCTTTCCTCTCTGAAATCAATAATATATATATTTTTTTTTAATTTTTTTAAAAAAATATATTTTATTGCTTTTTTACAGAGAGGAAGGGAGAGGGACAGAGAGTTAGAAACACTGATGAGAGAGAATCGTCGATCAGCTGCCTCTTGCACACCCCTTACTGGGGATGTGCCCACAACCAGGGTACATGCCCTTGACCGGAATCGAACCCTTCAGTCCGCAGGCCGAAGCTCTATCCACTGAGCCAAACTGGTTTCGGCAATAAAAATATATTTAAAAAAAAAAAAAAAACAACAAATAAAGGCAGGATGAGGGCAATCAGAGCAGAGAGAGAAGCGGCAGGCTGGCTAGTGGGTTCAGGACCAAAAGCGGCCTCAGCCCTGGGCTGGGTCAGCTGAGTCGCCGCCGCTGCTGCCGCTCTCTGAGGGCCTCCAGTGATCCTGCGGGAAGGCAGGAAGAGCACTGGCCAAGGAGTCAGGAGATTGGGCCCGGTCTGCCCCGGCCAGTCCTTTTAGAGACCCAGGAAATAGCCTCCCCGAGTTTAGACCGGAACAGAGACCTCCCCCGAGTTTAGACCAGGACAGAGACTCCTCTGCCCCAACCTGGTTGGGGAAGTGGCTCAGACTCGCTGTTCTTGTTGAGACAGAACCCTCTGGTGAGAGAATGCAGAACCAAATCCTCCCCGGCCAGCACCACCAGGCACCCCGCGCCCTCGGCCCGTGGCTCCCTCACCTTGACGTCCTCCCACCGCTCCTTGTCCTCCTTCAGGACCCGGCTGGTGTGCAGTGGGGTTTGAGGGACCTTTGTTGATTGCTGAGGGGAGAGAACAGGGTCCAGGTGAAACCTGGGCTGGGCAGGTCCTGGCTAAGCCCGGCCCCCAAGACAATCCCCAGAGACCCAGGCCTCTGGCTGCCAGGCTCACCATGATCCAGGGGTGGTTCATGAACTCCGTGATGGTCATTCTCTGAGTGGGCTCTGTTTTCAGCAGGTTCCGGATGAGCATCTTCACTGTCGGGGTGACACAGGGACACAGACAGCTCAGGGCCCCGCTCCCTCTCCTGCTCTGCCACACACACATACACACACCACACACACACACACACACACACACACACCACACACACACACATCACACACACCACACACACACCATACACACCACCCCCACTACACACACACCCCACACACACACCCCACACAAACACACACCCCACACACACACCCCCACACACACACACCACACACACACACACCACACATACACACCACACACACACCACACACACACACGCACACCACACACACACACACACACACACACACACCACACACGCGCGCGCACGCACACACACACGCACGCACGCACACATGCCACACGCACGCACACGCGCACACACACGCACACACACACACGGGCTCTTTACCTTCCTCTGATACTTCTGACCACTCTGGGTTGGGAAACTCGTACTGGCCCATTCGGATGCGAGTCTTCATGCCCGGAGAGATGGCAAGGCCGTGGTTGGAATAGAAGGGTGGGTACCCACACAGCCTGAGCCGAGAGAGGCAGAAGAGAGGGACAGAGCAGGTGTTATTTAAGGACCCTGCGCCAGGAACAGGGTGAGAAGCAGACTTCTTGTAAAGGTCACAGGGAAACAGGCATTCGGACAGGATCCAGAAATTCAGGACCGGGCCCAGATTCCTACAACTAAGTACCTACACCACACATACCCCTGCCCACCAGCTAGTTTATACTCATCACTTAGCTCTCGGATCCACTAGCATTGATGGGGCGTGCAGGAGACTCCCAGGGAATCCCCATCCAGAACGAGAATGCTAACCCCCACCTCTTCCTCTGGACCCAGAGAGGAACAGGCTTCCTCCCCCTCCGCCCCGCCCTGCCCCCGGGCCCCTCCCGCACACTCACAGGATGTACATGATGACACCCAAGGACCACATATCACAGGACTTGTCGTACTTCTCGGGTCCCAGCACTTCGGGAGCTGCAAACCAAAGGTCAGTGTGGATGAGCCTGGCCCTTGGACACGCAGACCTACCCGTTTCTCTGTGGCTGATGCTCCCAGCCCAGCCCATCAGCCCGTCATGATGGGATGCAAGCTGGGGTGGGAGGGGAACAGCCATAACCCAGCCCCAGAGCTGAAGGAGAAGAGCAAAGACCCTCTTCCCAGTGGAACTTAGGACTAGAATCTTAAGATAATTCCTGCCAAGAGCCTTTCAGATGCACGATGTCCATTTACTTGGACAAACACATTTGAGAGTTTGACCTATGCCGGTCAGCTGGGCACCAGAGCCCTGGGCATCTGATGGAGATGACAGCTCCTCTCGGGAAAGTGCCCATGCACAAAACCCTGCTGCGACCTCAGATAGCTTCCTAGGACCCCCCAATCCCGCCCATCTCTGACGAGCCGACTCCACTCAGGTCACAGCGGGCCAGAGGGCACACCTCTCCTGGGCCTGGGGCTCCACGGCTGGAAGAGGAGGGCTCGCCAGAAGCTCAGGGGAAGGAAGGATGAGCCTGGCCCCCCCTGGACTTACCCACATAGTAAGGCGTATAACAAGGAGTGGTCAACGAGTTGTGGCTGGTGGTTTCCTTGGCAAAGCCAAAATCGGTGAGTTTCAAAATGGCATTGGGCCTTTTGGAGGTGTATAAGAGGTTCTCGGGCTACGGAGAGAGGCAGAGAAATGGCAAGCCTGTCTGAGAGCTATTGGAGACGAAAAGGTAAAGCTGACTTCCCACTTCCTCGTCCACAGCCAGCTGTCGGGCATCAATGATCCGCACACCAGCAGTTGTGATCACCCCCTGCCCTCCCAGAGCTGGGAGACAAGAGGTCCATGAAGAGAGCCAGCACCTCCCTGGGGCAGAGAAACCAGGGATGGCTGTGCAGCGCTGACCGAGGACCACAGGGCTTCCGACTGGGTTTGGGGGTTTGCCCAGAGAATAGCACCCTGCCCCGCCCTGCCGTCAGGAACAGGGCAGCAAGGGAGCAGACGACTCTGGCAACCCTTCCCTGGGCTCTCAGCAGCGCCTGAGCGGGGAGGGGGTGGGGGCAGGGTGATGAACAGCTGGTACCTTAACATCCCGATGAGCAATGTTGATTGAGTGCAAATACTGGATGGCCTCCCCGATGCTCTTCATGATTTCCGAAGCTTCTGTGGAGGAGGAGAGAAAGTCACACGGTGTGTCATTGGGGTTGAAAACAGCCACCAGGCTCACGGAGGACGGCAGTCCTGGCAGCGAGCCGGAAGGGGCGGGAGCTCAGCAGGCCTCAGCGAGGGCAGGCACTGCAGGAGGTCCCCTTCCGTCACCCGCTGCCCCGCCTGCCCGAGGCCTGTCCCAACAGACCCTTTCTACCTCTCTCTGTGAACGCCTGGTCTCCTCGGTCCTGGATTCGGCTGAAGAGTTCTCCGCCGTCCAAGCTGAAACAAAGCCACGGTCGGATCTCGGGGACACCCCACCACTCTCCATCACACCCCCCCCCCCCCGCCCCCTGAAAAATCCGCGAGGGGCCCGGGCAGGGAGTGGGAGGCGGGCCAGGAACAGAACCGCAGGCTGCTCACCACTCCATGACGATGAGCAGGCACTTCCTCCCCGCGTACAGGTTCTCATAGACGTCCACAATCCGCACGATGTGTGGGCACTGGGAGGCCCGCCAGTGCAGCTCCACCTCGCGCCGCGCCTTGGGGCAGTCCTGCAGCATCTGCAAGCCAAGCAGCCGCCGCATCACTGCATGGTCTCAGGAGGGCGCTGGCTGCTGCCCCACATGGGCCTACTCCAAGGCCCTGCCCATATGCGGGCTGGCAGCACCACCCATGTGCCCTAAACTCCCCACTACCACTGACCCCCTGCCCAGCCGGTCTCCTTGGCATTTCCCCTGGCAGCTCCTTCTTCCAAATCCTGACCTGGAGCTTTTTAGCTCCCTTATCTGCTCTAAAAGAAACTCCAAATGACCCCTGGGGGCCTTGCCAGTCTACCCAACTAAAGGCATAGAGTCTATTGTAAGAGGCCACCGAAGCGAGGCACTGGAAGATGGGGATAGAGAAGGCACGGGAGCAAGACAGACTGAGGAAGCCCAATCCAATCTGGAGAGACTCAAGAATTTATAAGCAAAGGGACCTCCACAATCCCTCAAACCCAGCACACCAAAGCCTGAGCAAGTTCTTTCTACCTGTGGTTTACTTCATTCAACCAGCAGGTGGCCTCGGAGTCAGCGCAATGTATAGAGAATCCAGGTTCCTATGAGGTCTGCAACCTTGGGCAAGTTATTTACCGCACCAAGCCCCATTCACACTCCCTCTTCTTCCACGGACCAGGTGGCCAGGGGCATTAAAGGAGCCTGGATCCCACATGCGTCTCATGAACCTTGACTAGTCCAAGCCAGTCTCCTTATGTCCAGGCCCTTCACTGGTGACTGGCTTGGGAAGATTGCTAAGACCCAATGTCGGCCATGAACTTTGTAGGAAATCTGAGAGGCCTCTTAAAGGGAGCACAGGGATTGTACGTCATCTCTCCCACATATGGCACCGGGGCCCGAGGCAGTCACCTTGGTGCCATAAGGGAAAGCCTAAGAGGATGAACCAGCACACTGAGGAAGACAACCAGGAGAAGTGGCAACTGCCTGGGTTCTTGCTGATACACCCCACGTCCCTCATGGCTTCTTTGTGGCAGGAGACATCCTGATATATCCCTTTACAAACGGGAATAAATCTGTTGTAAGGATTGAATGAAAACCCCTGCACAATGCCTAGCAGAGTGCCTGGCATGTGCTCAGTAACAGTAGTCGTCATTCTCGTTACAGAATGTCTGCCAAGTGCACAGAGCAGATGCCAAAATAATTAAGATAAGGACTCTCGCAGCCTTACCATCTGTGGGAAGTCAAGATTAGCACTACAGTACACACCCAACTTCTCTGGGCAGTTGGAGGGCTGGGGTGTGAGGAGGCAGTCAGGCTAAGCAGGAAATGGAGAGGCAGAAGGGAAGGCTGACAGCAGAGAAAAACGGTGGGAATCCGCAGAGCTGGGTTTGGTGGGCGAGCTAAGGCACCTGCTGGAAAGTGGGTGAAGCTTGGGAAGTAGGATCAGATGGCCATGAGGCATTGAATTAGAGGGGGCACTGAAAGGCAAACACGGAATTTCCAACAATAAACTAGCACTCATCTCTGCTGCGGTCCATGGTATGCTCGGCCTTCTCTAATTTTACAGTAATGGCCATGTTACAGGATGAGGAAACCGGGACTCAGAGAAACTGTGTCCCAGGTTCAGATTCGGGAAAGGCAGAGCCAGGGTTGGAATCCAGGACTGGTGGGTTGCAAAGCCCACGCCTTTTGTGCTGCAGCACACTACACGACTTTTAGAGAAGAGATGGAGGCCGAGACTTGTCAGTCTCAGACTGCCAACTGCAGGTTGACTGAAGAGGCAACAGGTGCCCAGTTAATTCATGCTTGAGCAGGCAAGAGGCAAGGTCCCATGGGGTCACACTGTCACCTAGTGGCCATATGAGGACACTGCACAGGTCCTGGGTTCTGCCACCCTCAACCGTCATTCATTTGGATGGACCAGGAAAAGTGCATTTTCCTTTCCCAAGCTCTATGGAGTAGGAGGCGGCACAGGCGGATTTTATGTGCATGTAACAACTCCACAAGCATTCAGTGAGCTCCAACTATGGGCCACACGTTGTGCTGGATGTCAAGATCAAAAAGAAGGCTCCAAATCTAAAAGAATTCGGGCTGGGGGTAAGGGACGCACTAGGAAGGTAGGCAAAAAACACTTATAACCCACTGAGGTAATGTGCTGTAAGACTGAGAAGTTCAAAGCATTCAGGAGCAATAGTGTTCAGAGCAGCCAACTGGGAAAAACCTCTATCGCCCCCTACAGGCACATAGGAGCTAAGGCTCAAAGAAGAAGAAAGGAAGTTGTCAAATTACTCAGAGGCAATATGAGGTCATGGATCAATTTCTGGTTGCATCATAGCCTTGCAGAGGTCCTTGCCTTTCTATGTCTGTTTCACATCTGTAAATTAGGGGGGCTAATCCCCACCTGGCCCCCTGCCTCCTAGAGCCATTGCAAGCAACCAATGCAATTCTGCTCTAAAGAGCGTCTTATTCTCAGGCCCTCATCCCTGAGCCCACAGCATAGCTGCCACGGGGGCCTCTCCATCGCCATGTGCTGAGGCTGGAGCACGTGGGTTAGCCAGCGCATCATCAGCAAGACTGTAGGCTGGGTTTCTGTCTGGTGACCATGGCCTGGGAACCAGCTCCAAGCTCTAACCAACCAGAGCTGTGCTAAGTGAAGAAGCAACAAGACCAAACCCAAGAGCACGCCCCTCAGCCCCTCCTGAAACCAGAGCACATGCTCCAAGTTCCCTTCCTTCAGCCTCAGACATGTTAGGAGTGTGGCACCAGGCACTTTCCATCCCCAGGCTTACACACATTTCTTCCGCTGCAGAGGAGCTGGATGGACTAGTATGTAACACCCGGCCTTGGAATCGCACACATCTGGCTTCCCAGGCCTGCCCTTCCCAGGTGTGTCAACCTACGTTTCTGAAAAGGGTGTCCTCATCTGTCAAACTGGATTCAATTTAACAAAAGAAGTACAAGTGGAAAGAGCAGCACTTCCCAATTCTCAGAGAAATATAACAAAAATGTCCCATGAAGACTGGTAACTGACATCCAGGCACATGCTTATCAGCAGTCCCTGGGTGGATATGAAAACCAACGCAAGCAATGAAAGCAAGACCTTCAGAGCAGTCAGGAGGGCAGGCCGGCTGACGTCAGGGCAGAGCCAGGAAGAGCCAACGAGGCTCGGGGGACAGCTGTGGCGAGCAGAGAGCCTGGAGAGAGCACATCAAGAATGTGCTAATCTGGAGTGCAGGGCTAAGTAAAGAACAGCTCAGGGAGGTGCCTGAGCTCTGCCAGAGAGAGGAGACAAGAGAGAAAACAGGATTCCCGAGGTGCTAACAGGGCAACCAGCAGAGACGCGGTGGCAGGTTCAACCAGAAGCCAAGAGGACCCAGGGGAGGTTCCGCCCAGGGGGCGTGAAAAATGACACAGGGGCCCGGGGCAAGGACTGCAGCCCTGCGGGCCTGAATCTGAAGGGAGAAAGCGTCTTCCCCCTAAAAAGCCAGACTGGCTCTGAGGCAAGGAATGCCTTAAAGGATCTGTGAAGTATTTTAAGCCCACGCTAAACCTGGATCAGATACCGTGACTTCCCTCCTCCCTCCACGTTTGCGTCTGAAGTTCCCTTGCACTGCAGGCGAGGTTGCTGCTCACCTGCCAGTGTGGCCGGGCCAGGGAGCAGGCCAGAGTCCGTTACCAGGGGGACCTCTAGGGTGAGGGTGGCAATAATGGAGATATGGGCGCTCTCCCAAAATACTGTCCCCTGCCTTTCTGTCTTTGCCAGATCCAGAGGGAGGCAGGACGGTCCCCCTTATCTCCCCACCAATTTCCCCGCATGTGTTTGCATGGAAAGACTGGAGCAGAGCCAGGGAAAAGAAAAGAAACAGGCCAAGCCTGAGGCCTGCTCACAGCAAGGCAGACACGAGGATGGGAGGAAGAAGCAGGCCTCAAGGGAGCACCCCTTCACAAGCTCCACCACCATGTTCATCCCTTTGTGCCTCAGTTTCCTATCTGTCAAACAGGACAGTAACAGTACGATAAATCAATTAACACACAAGTATTACGTGAGTTACTAAGAATGGTTCCTGGCACATGGTAAGCACTGCACTAGTGTTTGCGATGGTTATTCTGACCCCTCTGCTTCCCCCACTATGAGAGTCCCATTGGGGTGGGGAGTTGGAATCCCACTCCTGCCCACCTCATTTAGGGTGTCAGCACTGGACAGAGCGGGGGACCCAGAACATCGGGAAGGAAGCAGGCTTTGGCATCCCAGCCCTGAGCTCCCCTGCTCCCTCCCTGTGCCACCTACACTGGATAGCTGGGTGGGGGCTGCAATGCAATGAGGGAGGAAGCCATCCCTTCCCAGACTGAGCCGGTGCCAAGAGGGATGAAAAGTCAGTCAGGCGCCGTGTTGTAGGTGTGCGGTGCTCCTTGCACAACACAGCCTCTGCACTCCCAGGAGGTCAGCAGGCGCCAGCCCCCAGCCTGTCCCACATGGAGGGCTGAGGCTGGCCTGGATGCGTCTCCAGGTAGAAGAAAGGAGGACTGTGAAGGAGGCTTGCTGCATGTGTGATGGTGCAACCCCAGCGCAGAGCAGCCGGAGGTTAGCGGCCTCAGAGCCGGAGGAGCAGGGAGCCTGCTCCTGGGAGTGCTCTGGGTTACTGGGGGGTAAGCAGTTGGAACGGGGAACCCTCACAGCCACCCTCACACCCACACCTAGAGGAAGCGTCCTATTTTATAAATAGCAAAACTCAGGCTCAGAGGCACTGAGCGATTAGTTCTAGGCCTTTTAGTCAGTAGTCGGTGGCAGGCTGGAATGTGAATTCCATTCTCACTGCGCCCAGAGCCTCCTGCCCACCACCCATGGCAAGGCAAAGGGCACAAACCTGCCCAGGGCTGTGGTACAACAGCCGAAAGTGGGGGCTGAAGTGGACATATGTCTTAAAGTGCAAACCTTGAATCTTGAAATTACTGTTAGAATGTTACTCTCAGGTACTACAGGTACTAATCATAGGTGGAGCTTTAAGTGTGTGTGTGTGTGTGTGTGTGTCCCCCAATAGTTGTTTACCTCACCTAGAAATGGCTGA